CAGGGCTAGTGGTGATGGAGGTGGCGGTGGTAAGGACAGCAGACGTCGACTTATTTCTGCAACAGCATTTGGAGGAAAACTGCGCTGAAGGCCTATATGCAATGCAATCGGTGCATAAGTTTAGTTGGTTTAGTGTGGGCTGCATATATGCAAGAGGGTCGAGTGCTGGAAAGTGGTGCTGACGACTGCATTGCTGGCGATGAAGGGGAGGGGACTGGAGAACAGTGAAGAATTGGGATAGATTGCCCATTACAATGAGTGACGTAGACCATCTCACATGCTACTTGAGAGTGTTTGAAATGCTTTTACAGTGTAGTTTATTGACCGCCTCATTGATGGGTCAATTAAATTATTGATTAATCCTACAGCAATCGATGATCACTTAGGGGATGGATGACATCAAGCTCGAAACTGTGTGTAGTCGTTGTAATTGCGGTTGTAGACGTGAAGTGCAATTGTGGGCACAAAGTGGAGCTGTCTTCTAGGCGCCAGCATAACGGTGTAGTGAGAGGGAGGTTAGGAGGAGGTGAGTGTGGAAGGTGACTGACTCAACAGTGACAGAGGCTCCATTGTTCATCAGAGCTGCACGCCATATCATTCAAGACTCATTGCTGTGGCATTTAATTTACCACTGTTTTGGAAGATAGTAGGGGAGAAGTGAAAGTAAAAGGATGGACTGAAATGGAAAAGAGCAGATATGATTAGAATGGTACCGCACATACAAGATTAGAATGAATAAGCAATGAAGAAATCGTTTCCTGTAAAATCTGCAATTATACTGACACACATCTTACCATATATGTACTCGATTGCACCAATAAAATATGCATTTTTGCAAGCATACTTAGATAAACTCGATCTTACCTAATAGATTTGCTTTCAATACCCACATGCACATGAGGTACTTATTTATTTATTCAACTCCCTCTTTCAATAACGGGTCACTTTGGTGCTTCCCATGGTACTATCGGCCAGCTGCCTTACCCATCGGGGCATGCCTGTGGCCCCAGGCCCTTCTGCACCTTAACGAATCACATTCTGCCCGGGTGTTATATCTTCCTTTGTCTATGAAAAGTCTTCCGTCG